TGAGAGACACGCATCACAAGGAGAATTGGTAATGGAAGACGAAACAGGGAGAGAAAATGACCGAATAAGACTAGCTAAGGACTGATGAGATGGATGACCGAGACGGGCGTGCCACGAAGTTGCTGATGTCCGAGTCGTTATAAGCGCCATGCGAACATTTTGCACCTCTCGAGGTAACTCATACACATCACCGTTGTTTTCCCCCTTCAGAAGCTGCGCCCCCGTGCGAAGATCCTTCACAATAAAATGAGAGGCAAAAAATTCCACCGATACTGGATTAGTTTGACACAACTTAGCCACCGAAATTAAGTGTTTCTTGATAGTGGGAACACATAATATATCATTCAAAAATAAGGTATTAGAACCATGGGAAATTGAGGACGAGCCAATATGTGAAATAGCCAAACCTGAACCATCACCCACAAGAATTTCATCGGGGCCAGTATAGTCTGAATAAAGAGAGAGATGACCCAAATCTGGAGTCACATGATGACTAGCTGCTGAATCCAGCACCCATGGGCCGGAAGAAGAGCCACTGGACGGGCCTGAATGTGTAAAATTGGCCTGTGCTGTACGCTGCTGATTATGGGCCTGACGGGCCTGTGGGAATAATTTGAAGCATTGCCTCACTGAATGGCCTGGACGGTCACAGTATTGGCATGTGACAGTGGGCCGGCGAGAGCGAGTGGGCTCGGAAGAGAGATGTGGGCCGCGAGGGTTGAAGGAAAAACCCATCTGCTGCTGGCGATTGGGGGGAAGGCCCAGATGCTGTTGACGACCACCATGAGGCCCTCGAAAGGAGCCGCCGCCGCTAGGATGGAAATCTCCATCGCTGCGATCTCCAGTGCCACCACCGCTGCCCCGACGAGGAAGCCCCTGGGAATAGAATGCCGTGGGAACGCCGGCAGTGCGCACTTGGACTTTCAAGTCAGCTTCGAATTCAACCAAAGAATCAAGCAGATCTTCAATGGCTATGGCTGATCCCCGAGCTCGAACAGCAGCAGCAAACTGATTGTATTCAGGTCCAAGACCACGAAGACAATGAACAACCAGATCCAGATCTTTCACAGGTTCATCAATAAGTGCAAGTTCCGCAGCAATTAATTTGAGATCATTGACATATGTAACAACATCCTGATCTCCTTTGGTGGTGGAAGCCAGCTTTCCTTTCAGATTTATAATGCGAGATTGAGAGCGGCTAGCATACAATCGCTCCAGAATCAGCCAAGCTTCTCGAGAGGTAACAGCCGCAGATACATAGGAGTATAACGATTCAGATATAGAGCATCGAAGAGCATGTAAAATGAGTTTGTCTTGACGATACCAGCGCCTATAAGCAGGATTGGGAGCGGTGCTATTGTCTGCTGTGACTGTTTGAGCAGGAGCCACACCGGTTCCGTCAATAAAACTGATAAGATCCAATCCCATAAGAAGTGTCTCCAGCTGGGATCTCCAGGAGTGAAAATTGATCGAAGTCAGCTTCAATGGCTGGGTTAAAGGTAATAATGGCATCATCAGCAAGTGACGAGCTGTTTGAGCCTGATGAGCCCGACATGGAAACAGGGGAAGAAAGGAGAGAATACAGAGTATCACTCGAGCAAAGAGAAGAGAAAGAAAGAATTAGATCCGAGCTAGATGACCGTAACCAGCTCTGATACCATGAAAGAGGTTTTGCTATTGATGTTGTTGAGAGAATCAAAACTTGATTGTTATTAGATGATTGTCTCTGTTTAATATACATACAGAAGCAACAGAAAAGGTTCCCCATGTTCCTTGAAGCTAGGAACAGAATGATAATGGAAAATGTGGGGAGAAAGAATAGGCAGAAAAAATAATAAAGTAAAATACATTTAATCTTTATTTTCCTTAATAAAGAGTACCATGGATCTGGATTTTGACATTCGAGTAACTAATTTTCTATTATATATGAATTTTAGTTCAAGGTGAATGGCTTGAACTAAGAACGTATATAAAGCAAAATTCAACGGCCGTTAACATCAGCGTTTGTGATACAATATCGTTTGCTTATAGGTTTAGTAATGCATCGATCGGTTACCAAAAATAGTTGTATTAGAGTGTTTCCTGTGCCTATGGTGACTTGCACAGTGACTTTGGACAAAACGAACGACCGGTACTAAGTGGTTGTAGTCAACCGATTACACTAACATAATCATTCTTATGAATAATTGTAGTCGATCTTACATAAAAGACTTATAAACAAAAAAATCGATTATTTTTTCAAATCACGATGACTTACAGTTTACCATAGTAAATTTCTGCCATTTTATCACCGTTTGTTTCTACAAATTCAGTATTTGCGGTGGGGGTTGGGAGTAGACTTGTGGTCATATCATATATAGACGTGAGCATAATAATACCTGCGGCATAAAAAGATAATACAAAATATCAAATCGATGGAACGTTGAATACGTGTGCATGAGTGTCGGTGGACCTTAAAACCTATAATCTGGACACTATTTGTCAATTTTAGATCAAATTTTTATATGATTGGAGAAAAGAAAAGGAATTATTTGAAGTCAAATGAAAATACGAAGACTGAGATATATATACTGAATTGTACTGCCAAGAAAGTAGGATGCATGGATGTGGTTAATTATTTAATTTGGGCCGGTGGGACTTCTGAATACTTCAGAATTTTCTATTAGTGATGATTATGTATGCAACCAAACCAAAGTCCCATTGGTCAAACTCCATGAACTCTTAAAACAAGTTTAAAAAAAAAATGAGATTAAGGGAATGAATTAAAGCAAAAAAAAAAAAAAAACAAAAGGATTTGGATATATATAGCACAAACTAACATTTCTTATCATCCAATAATTGGATTGGAATGTACATATTTTAATGAGATCGTATGAGTGCTCTCTACACTTAGCCCACATTCATGATGCTCATAAATTTATTTTATTTTGATATATATAATTAGTTAATTACTAAAACGTCCATCGTGATAATACAAACTAGCTTTGTTGTGACGAATTATATAAATTTGATAAATGATTGGGCTAGTAAATAGAGATGGCAATCAAACTCACAATTATGAGTACTTGATCATTCTCGTCCCAGTCAGTGTGGAGAATCCTTTCATTGATTGGGTATGAGGCGGATAGAGGTAAAACATGCACACACACAAAATTTATAGGGATGTGACGGATTTGGTTTTAGCATTCCTGTCTCATATCTTATTCAGACCCACCCCCACCAAAATTACTTCTTCATATGTAAAAAAACATAAGGGATTATATTGTAACATCTCAATGACAGAGGGTAATTAAGAAAAAGTAGTTGAAATGTAATTGAGTAGCCACTCAACTCAAAGACTATTTTTTATCAATTATGTCGTCACTCTTTCACTTATTTTCCCTTTGTTAACAATATTTTGTTAGTTTTTATTGTTTACTAGATGTGTCAAACTCAGAGATGAGTGAATTGAATAGTATTCTACTTTGTCTAAGAAATTAAATTGATATCTCAGGATTAGATGCTTTGGCTTTGTATTGAGAATGGTTGTGTCTTTGTTAATTTTATAATTTATTAGATTTGTTTAGTATTATAATTAAAGATCTACATGTTGAGTTTTAGATATAGGGTGCGCCTACGGTGACATGCATGTCACGGTGACTTGCACTTTTCGGTCGATTTCAGTTATGATTAGGTCGACCTAATATGTTGTTTTAGTGTAAAAACAGTTTCATGGTGCCTACTTTGTAGATTCATATCCATTCAATTGGCTAGATGAAAATTGAAGATTAATGGCTTGTTTTGAAGCTGGAGTGTCCCTCTACATATTGAAGTGATTGAGATCTCGATAGGAATTGCAGAAGACCATTTTTGAACCTGATCAAAAGACTATGCCAAAACTGGGAAACTGCCTGAAAATTGCTAAGTCTGGAAACGTGTTTGTGAAGCCTACTTTGGAGCTCAATTCGAGAAGCATGAATGGGAGTCGGGTCCAGGGGTTTCTACCACATTAAATTAGGTATGTTTTTATACAAATTCAAGGCATTGGATGAAAGATTGGATATCTGTAAGGTTTCAAACAAAAGGGTCGAAGCTGCTATGAAAGCTGTTTTTCTGGCAGACTTCCGAGCACAAGCAAGCTGCAAGAAAAACAGCCTTCGTAGCAACTTCGAGCCTTTTGTTTGAAGCCTTAAAGATATCCAATATTTCATCCAATACCTTGCCTTTGTAGACAAACATACCTAATTTAACGTGGTAAAGGCCCCTGGACTCGACTCGCATCCATGCTTCTCAAATTGAGCTCCAAAGTAGGCTTCACAAACACGTTCCCAGACTTTGCCATTTTCAGGCAGTTTCCCAGTTTTGGCATAGCCTTTTGATCAGGTTCAAAAATTGTCTTCTGGACTTCCTATCGAGCTCCCAAGTACTTTGATATGTATAGGGACACTTCAGCTTCAAAACAAGCCATTAATCTTCAATTTTCATCTAGCCAATTGTAAGATATGAATCTCCAAAGTAGGCACCATAAAACTGTTTTTACACTGAAACAACAAATTAGGTCGACCTAATCCTATATGAGATCGACCGAACAGTGCATATCAACGTAACATGCATATTACCATAGCAAAGTTGTGGGGAATATTATCCACAGCAGCTAGTCAGCTACTAGAAAAACTGCGGGTATAGAAATTGGGTTACTGCATTGACTATTTGAAAATGAGAATGATAAACTCCCGCATTGTCATCCTACCGCTAAGTGAAATAGCCCGAGGTTGAAAAAACATAAGTAATTAAAATTTTATTTAAACATGGTAATTGGTATCCTGTTATGGGTTTAGGGCTAACGAGACTCCAAACCATAGCCCGGGGGTTGAAACGCTAGAAGCCCATTACCTGTCCCTCTACTACGGAAAACGGGCCTGTCTTTAAATGGGCTCTCTATGATATTCTCGACCCACAAACAGCTTTGTCGACTCTTCGATCCAGAGAACTGGTAAGCCAGTCCTTGCTGGCCCATTCATCCAAGCTGGATCAAATCTTTCCAGCCATGAAAGTAACTAATCTGTTGTGTTTGTGTAGGACTGGTAGGGCACCATCCCATCTGCAGCGCACACCAACTGTTCGAAGAAAGTCCCATTAGAGTCCCGCCGAACAGAAACCCGATCTGAAAAGCTGAAACCATGATTCCGAAGCCGATTCGCCCCTTGGTGACCACCGCCGCTTTCGTTTTCGGCGGATTGGTGGCTGTTAACGTGACTTCCACCCTCGCCGTCAACGCTCTCCGCCACGCCGCCGAACTCAAACGGGTAACCCGAACAACCGATCGTACCAAATTCGTTTCACTCTCCTGGTGCCGTGATATGTAGAATTTTCAAATTCTGAGAGATGGGTTTTCTGTTTTACGTCCTTACCCGCCAGAAAAAAGTTGCTTTGCCATGTGGGGTTTGCCGAGGGAAAGGGTTCTACATCTGCAAACTGTGCAATGGAAATGCGACCCTAGAATGGTCGCAACTGTTCGACCCAGTCGCCATGAACCCTTGCCTCTGCCCTACCTGCGACGGCAATAGGTAAGTCACTCAACCACCACCCAAAATTTTGGACCAACCCCTTATCAATGCTATGCAAATTAAAGGCAAATTGTACTTTGCTTTGCTTTGCAGAGTCCAGCGATGTTTGAACTGTCTTGGAAACGGCTACAGTTAATTTGCCACCACTCTGCCAGAAGGTTAGGAACAGCAGACTGAGACTGCCATGTTGGCCTAGGGCCAGAAGTGGGTTTCTGTGGCTTTGAATTGGGTAGTACATGTGTTGGTGAGAAGGGCTAATGAGAAGTGGGTTTCTGTGGCTTTGAATTGGGTAATAGTGGGAAGTGGGATTTGATTAGCAAGATCTAATCAATTATCAATGATTCCATGTTGTTAATACAACAAACTTAGAGCTGCTCCAAATCAACCAACCATCATACCATTATTGATTTGGGGGTCCTGCTGGAAACCTCAATTATTTGTATTTATTCGATCATGTGAGTTATTATTGGCAAAAGTTGCATGGCAATGATATAGGCCAGATGACAAAACTCACAAATGGGGAATTTATATCCTTGTTTTCATGATCCAAATGCAGCAATCATGTTGGGGTGTGTGCCACTAGTTTCTATGTGGTGTAAAGTAGCCCCTATTATATTAATCCGGTTAGCATGTTGATTGGGTTCGAGTCGGCATGAGTTTGACATTTTCCGAACCGTCTAACATGGAATCTAAGTCTTTTTTCTATAGAAACATCATTGAGTGCTTTTAAAGATTGACATTAGAGAACCATTTGATCCAATGATCGATATCAACTTTATCTCATCGCAAACTTATAATTCCGACTACCATTTGGATGAGGTTATGGTCAACAATCTCGCTCATTACTTACACGTGTTGGTGTTATTTTACAAACAAAAATTATTATCATGTGCGTCCAACACCTATGAGTCATAATTCAAAATAATGTGCTTAAGTTTACGCATATGTGTGCTTAGGTGCTAGACAACGTTAAAATGCCTCTTGCCTAAGGGTTTTATGGCGGTTTAGATATCAACAACACCATGACGGAGTAAGTTGACACCTAGACCTAGGTGTTGCCTGGGTGTAACCAGGTGGAACTAGGTGATCAATTTTTCAGCAGCCAAACAACTTTGTGACCTTTTAGACTATGATTATGTACACTTGTAAACATTTTTCTTCTCGTTAAGTGTTAAGTAAATTATCAGTCATTTGAATTGAAATACGAAAGTATGTATGGTAAACTGGTACTTTTGTTTCCATTGTATATATATATTTAAACGATACCTAAACAAAAGCTCAACGCCTGCGTTATACCTATCTCCTTTCTTGAACCGTATGACCACAAAGTCGTGCAATCCAATAATGACAATCTATGGCGACCCTAGCCCTTAAGAACCTAGCAGAATTCCTTTATTCGTTGAGTTGGATCGACAGATGGATTGTGAACCATGTGAGAGCAATGACAAGGCAGTGCAATTGGGCAGCTGCTATCTGGAGGAACCAATCATCAAAACCTCCACATAAAGCCTGCCCTACGACTGCTCATCATCACTTCACAGCACAGAAAAAACACACTGGCACCAGAAACCACTCTGTCTCTCCCTGTCATAAGTCATAACTTCTGTTGTCCCACCTCCCTCCATTGACAGAAAAGAAGAGCACATGAAGAGCACATTCCCCCCCTTCATGATTTCTGCCTACAACAACACGACACCTCCGAAGTGTGCTCCATGTTCCATGGGAAATGAAGTTAAACAAATAAGTGAAATCAAATAACAACCCCCACTATCAGTTTTACACATGACTTCCACGTTAGGACTCCCGGCTTCTTTGGGTTGGTGCTGTTGTGGTTGCTCTTCGGATGCTCTGTTTTTTGGTTCCCAATCTTGAATTCTCCTCTTTCGGCTTTCCCTCCATAAAGTTTGAATCTTTCTTGGTTTCAGGGCATTGGGTAAAGATAACATTTACTTCTCTGATGTGCATTTCCTTCGAGGCGCATGGGATATGGATATCCTAATTCCTAGTTGACTTCAGGGAGATCGGGGGCGTGGAAGCCATTAAAATATGTGACATCGCCGGCTGACTCCACGCCATTTGGCCATTTGAGTTTAAAAGGGCTTTAACTACGAGGCCGGCAATTACTCTGTTCCACTAAGTCAAGTATCCATTGAGGAAGGCAAGGTATTGGACTTTGTTCTCCTGCCCTGTTTGTAAACAGCAACATTGGACCAGTCGATCATCAAGTGGGTGTAAAGTTGGGAAATAAATTAGTCACAAAGAATTGCATCATCACAAAATTGGGAAGTAAATTAATCACAAGAATTGCATCATCACCCTATGTAAGATAAACAGATAATACATGTGGCATTGGTCGGGTTGGGAGTCGGACGGACACCAAAGTTACCGAGTTCATCTCTTTTTATAGATTGTCGAATCGAATTCTGCTTTGTCGATAGCGAATGATCAAGCCGTTGAAATGATTCTGGTGTCGGATTCATCTCACCGAGATCTCATATCAATTCTATCCACCATTTTGTCAAGATTCATTTGAAAATACCTTTCGCTCTTAGAAAATGAACAGACGACTATATAGGAACAACCGATGTTGAAATTACGTCATAGACTTGCCTTAAGCATTAATCATCAGAAGTCAATAGTACATTCTTGTCTATTAATGATGGTTTCAACTCTACGTATTCATCATTTTCAAGACCAAAACAAAAAAGACTTGTATTTATCAGTTTGACTTGTTATTGTATTAGTTGTTCTCCTATCACCATCCGTCTGAACTCTATGAGCCTGTTTTTTTCTCTAATGGAGTTTGATTGTCACACAAATATTATGAATTTATGTGAGAAAAGCATATGGCGTGTGGACTTTTTGAGTTCATTGAGCAACCCTAGAATGTACCAATACACAAGTACAAATCATAAGGTGGGCATTTGCCTGGCAGGCTAACTTCCAAGTCTATAAGAAAGGTACAGTTTGACATGAGTTTGGTCTAATTGTGTTTGTGATATCATATCGACGGTTATAATAGGGTTAAATCACATTTTTCGCAATCATTTCACCATAAATTTGATATAGAATCATAACTGCTTGTAAATGGTTTGTCAAATACATTACTATTATTTTTGCATTATTAGTTTTGCCGATTTGAACTTCAATATGATTTTACTGTCAATGGATTTGTAATTAAAACTATTACGTTATTTCCTTGCTCGATCGATGCATACTCTTCTACGTGATTTGGAATCTTACCCATTTGCTTTGAAACCCCAAATTGAAATGACAATTAACAAACAAGAAATCCAAAACTTATACTACTACGCAACATTTGTAACGACGTGGAATAACAAACAACCGACTTCTCAATCCAATAATAAGGAAGCAAACAATGCCAAGCTTTTCACTGCATGCTATTCCAATCATCCCCTAATAGTAAAATCCTAACCCTCTTCCTTTCTTTCTTCCATTCCTTTATGTTGGTTTTTGAATCTATACATATGGATTGTCAATCATGTGAACCAATCACAAAAAATCCCCCAAAAAACAGCGTATAATCCCAGCAAAACAGAGTATAACCCAAATTTACACCAATCCCTCTGTTCAAAACTTCTTCTTTCCCTCCTCCCCGCACATGAACGCAGACGCCACACTCGCCTTCATGCTCTCCACGATCTCCGCCGCCGAAGGCCGCACGCTCACCGCCAGCCCAACACATTTCCTCGCCATCTCGAACATGGCCTCCACTTCCCCCAAATCGAACTCGCCTCCCAATTTCGGATCCACCAATCCCGCCAAATCCCCTGCTTTTTCATCGCCGCGTTCCCTAATCACCGCCGCCAAAACCTCCCCTTTCTCCTCTGAGAACGCCTCCCGGCCCGTCACCAGCTCCAATACGATCACCCCAAAACTGTAGATGTCGTTCTTCTTGGAAGCCAAACCAGTACGCAGATAACACGGGTCGGAGTAACCCAGTGAGCCCATCATCACCAATTTCTTCCCCCTCCTCGGCCCGCCCACCGTCGCCACGGCGGAGGAGAACCCCATCTTCGCCGACCCGAAATCGCAAAGCTTGCAGCTTTGCTCCCCGTCGAGCAAGACGTTGGACGCCTTGATGTCCCCGTGTACGATTGGGACGTCACCTACGCTGGAGTGGAGGTAATCGATTGCTTCGGCGAGTTGGTACGCAATCGCCATCCTTTTGCTCCACGGGAGCGGCCGCCGGCCGCTCCCGTGGAGGTTCTCCTGTAACGTTCCATTGGGAACATACTCCATTACCAGCGCGCCACCTGAAGACAAAAAGAAATTGTTTCAATTAGCTTGCGTGAAAATTGGGACAAGCCCAAATCGAAATTCAGAACTCCAGATCTTAAAAAAGAACACACCTTTATCGTCGGAGTAGCCCAGAAGCTTGACAATGCGCCGGTGGTGGAGGCGGAGGAGGATGTCGAGCTCCTGGCTGAACAGAGGACTGAGATAATCCCCTGAGCAGCTCACCTTCACCGCCGCGGAACCGGCAGCCAAATACACGTTGCTGAACCCACCGGATCCAATCAAGCACTCGAAATTCCGGGTCAGCTTCTCAATCTCGTCCCACCCGTACCTCACCGGAGAACAATCGTCATAATCCCCTGCTCCTCCTTTCCCTTCCTCCTCACTCTCAACCTCACCCCAGCAGCAGGAATCGTCTGAAACCGCCGCAACCCTGTCCCCGTTGGGTCCACGGCGGCGCCGGGTGTTAAAACAATTGGGTATACAGCCGAACGCCATGGGAGAGACGAAAGAAAAAACAGAGGATCAGGAAAACAGAGTAGTAGCGAGACAGAGAGACACAGAGAGAGGAGACTGTATGGGGTGAGTAGGAAGCAAAGGGCTTATAAGGGGAAGGGAGAGAAAAAAAGCTGTCGGTAGGCAATCGGCGTTAGGAAGGGGACAAAGGAGGAGAGTTGCAGTGAGCGGAAAGGAAGGGACGGAGGAAGAAGGAGAAGTGGAGGAGACTTCAGAGAGGGAGAGAGAGCTCAGCTAAGTAGTAAGTAGAAGAAGGGGGGAAAGGGAACAAAAAGAAATGATTTTGGGAAAAGATGGGCCAACCAACGGGGCCTGGGGCCCAAGGGTAACCCTACAGGCCGAATTATAAGACACGAGGTTTTTTTTTTTAATAAATAATAATTTTGGTGAAATAAAAACAAAAAGAGAGAATGGTGGAGAGAAAAAGACTGTTGAATAAAGAAAGGGAAAGAGGGCTAGGAGATGAGATGAACCAAGGCAGCAAGCAAAGGTAAGCACTCGGATAAGTACTTTTCTGCTACCACCCGTCCACCCGGCAGTGGGATTTAGACCTTGATCCCGATTTTTCTTATTCTAATTTAATCTTGTGATGGGATTAGGAGGGGTGTATCCTTCACACGGTCACCACCAAACATCTTTTCCTAAATTGATTATTGTTGAGTTTGATTGACAATTTTGAAATCTTCTGAGTTGATTCTATCAAAGTTCGATAATGAGATAAATTATTATTAGAGTGATCGTGCGAGTTAAAAATTAGTCCTTTGAAAGTCGAAGAATCGTGTTAATTGGGGGTGAGTTAAGAAGGAGGGACATGAGAAGGGAAAATGTGAACATGACATGTTGTGATTCAAGGTTACGTGAAGGAAATCAATTTACGTTTTTTAGATAGATTATCCATTGATAGTATTTATTATCGTGGAAATCTCTTTTAGAAGTTTGGATTTTGTATGTATGGAATATGTTCTTTACAAGAATTGCAATTTGTGATGCGTGTAGTTAATTAGAATGATGCATAAGGCGTGAGAGGAAGGAAAAAACTTTAGAACTGATATATTTTATGATCGCAAGTTAATATATTTTTTTTCTTAAACTGAAAAATGAATCAACTTATTTTCGTGTAGTGTCTATGAGGTAAGGACTCTTTCATGAATTTAGATTTTGGGATGATTCTTTGCTTAATGATTTTTGGGGGATGATTTGTCGGGATGAAATTAAATTAACTCACGTAATGGAAATAAAATCATATTTCATATTTGTGTGTTTGGTAAATGATTACAAGTTAATATCAAAGCATGTTTATCATTTTATTATGTGATTGGTGATTTAAAAGACGTGGAATATTTAAAAAAATTGTCGTCATTAGGGATTCTGTCTATTCTATCTAGGTAGGAATTATTGTGGGGCCCGCTTGAGGGGGGGAGTGAGTGGGATTTTAAGTAAAGTAATTATGGCGGGCACGTTGGCTCGCGTGTAAAATGCTTGTAATTTGGAGGCCCAAAAGAAGAAAGGCACAGTCAGGCTACTGCTTCAAATGGGCCGAATATAGTGACTGGGCTGAGAAGAACACAGTTTGTGGCCTATCAGATAAATCTCGGTCCGTTTTGTCGTGTGTAATTAAGTTTACAACAAGCCCACAAAATTTGAAGGCTAAGCCCGAGATCACCGATGTGAATGTTTGTAATGCTTGGAGAAAACCTTCTCTGTAATGAAACTAGTTTTTTACCCGCCCGTTTGGGCAGAGTATTTTGTTTGGTTATTTTATAATTTATTATAGTATTTTAATTGTTATTATTATTTGTGTTTGTTAAGGTAATATACATGGAATTGTAAATCTCACTTACCTTATTTCAGGTATTGTTTCATACTCTTATACCTTTTGTTTATTTATAAACATTTTAATTTTATTAACTGAGCTCTTTGTAGACGATTTTTTATTGATTTAATTTTTTTAAATCAAACTCGCTCTTTAAGATTATAAACATAAGAGATAATTCATTCTTTAGCACACAATTGTGATAAAGAAGTTAAAAAACTTACGGCCACAAAAGAAGAAGTTAGAATAAGAAACTATGCTTCAATTAATAAAAAAAAATAAGCGAAGAGCTTTTTATTTTCTCTCCCTTCTCATATGTCGGTATATGAGAATAGAGTATATTCCGATCTAAATCCCATGAATATCGTGTATTATCACTTACACATACAATTTTGGAATAATGAGAAAACTCATTGGCATCCACGTCCATCAATCTTCCATGTACTTGTTTAATTACCTAATAACAACATAGACAAATAATGAAAGGAGCATAGACAAATAATGAAAGGAGCAGTCTTCAATACAACTCAACTCATTTTATCATTCAGATTCCTCATATGTGAACTGGATATATGCATCAATCAAAATAGTAGTTTGTAAGAAAACAATCATGTCAAAATCAATCTTTAGTTAGGGATTCAATGCAGAAAAATTCACCTTAATGAAACAAACAAATGTCACCGCAAACATTTAGAAATTAAAAACACATCAAAATAGACAACCGAGAAACCCCAATTATGTTCCCTTCTACTTATAACCCATTTGCTACCTACTAATTACTAACCAGATCATCATTGTATAGCTAGCTAGTAGTAGCATGTCAATCATGAACATAAAATATAATAAACAATCATCACCAATGCAGTCAAAAGCGCGATTTTACCTAGAAGCGGAAAATGGGTAAAATCGTAAATCGTAGAATCAAAGCGTAAAAACGTAAGTTTTTGACGCATACTGTAAAATAACGGAAAATTTGTTAAGTACGCCATATACTATGTAAAATATGAGTGCACATAGTTTAGATAATTTAATAAATACCTGTAATTCATGTCTAAAGTTGAGAAACTCATAACATTTTAACAATAAGTTCATAAACATATATCTTAACCATAAGCTACCTTCCCCTCTAAGCTAGTGATTTTGGGAAGGGTCTAGTTGGTGAATTAGATTACTCTATTGAAACTAAGAATGCACCCAAGTACTTGATATGTATCTTTTAATCTTAAATATATCATATTTTTTGTGATTTACCTGTAAAATATAAGTATTTTCGTGAATAGAATACTCCTTTAGTGAACTAGAAGCGTAAAAGCGTAAAGCGTTTTGGTTAACCAGAAGCGTAAAAGCGTAAGCTTTTAAGCTTTAAAGCGCATTTTAGTCCCGATTTTATACACTTAAGATTTTATATGGAAACGAAAGCGTTTTAGTGTTCTAGAAGCGTAAAACCGTAAGTTTTTAAGTTTTAAAGCGCGATTTTGACTGCATTGATCATCACAACTCTACTTTCCATTTCAACATTCAAGAAATCGGGTTGCAATAGACATTCAAGAAAAACAATCAATTATTCAACCAAATGAGGTATGCCCTAAGTCCAACCAATTAACCCTTCTAATTATATTTTATATACATAAAAGTATATGGCGACCCTTCTCCGTAAAAAACTAAGAAGAAATATATTCACTCATCGGGAGTGGGAAAATTTACCATCCAACAGTTGTAATTTTGAAGAAATTAAGAAAAGAATGGGAAGAAGAGTATAACTCGGCCAGTCGACCGCAAACAATAACATATCGCTGAGAAAGTGAGGTCAGTTGCCAGCTTTAGATCAAGGAGGAAGAGGGGGCAGTCGACAACTCTCGGCTTGGTTCACCTCATCTTCACAATGATCAGATTAACTTTTTTCGTCAACACGCAAAAATATGTTACAACTGCTCAAAATTTTGTCATCTAATCGTTGTCTCGTGTAACTCCTGCCTCCTATTCTCATACAAAGAAAAAAAATCGTATGCATTACCATTTCCTTCTCTATAAATTATGAGAATAGAAATCTCAAATAATTTAGCAACTAATAGGGTTAATATTTTGGAAAAAATCCCACTGTACACATGTTTTTAAAAAAAATTCTCAAAATACACATGTTATGAAAAAAATTTCCAATCTACGCATGTTTGGGCCATCACCGCGTCAGACTAAGGCTGTGATTGCATCACCGTGTTTAAGAAGAGCGGTGATTGCATCACCGCGTTTGTGAAAAATGGTGATTGCATCACCGCTGTAGACAAAAACGGTGATAGCTTAACCGTCTTAAACGGCCGCGGTGAAGGCCTGACCTGCGTCAAATCTAAAAAAAACGTAACTTTGTGCTCGGTTATCCGATCGTAGTGAAATTTTTTTTGATTCCGCATAATTTTTTGAGATCTTGCAAGCCGCAAACGGCCAAAGGCGGTTTGGTCCCGCCTTCGTCCCGAAAAAACGTCGTTTGCTACCCCGAATGAGCCTTTTTTCGATTTCGTCAAACTTTGAACTATCATAACTTTGTGCTCCACAATCCGAAAATCATGAAATTTTTTTTTATTTTGCATAACTTTTTGAGGACTACAATTTTTATCATAGACATAATTTCGGAATGTACTTGAATTCCTAAAAAGAAAGGTAAACTTATTCCCAAAATCTCGTATATCCAAAATAATTCATTTTTTGAAAATTCTCTCCTACTAAAAATTGTAGTCCTCAAAAAGTTATGCAAAATAAAAAAAAAATTCATGATTTTCGGATTGTGGAGCACAAAGTTATGATCGTTCAAAGTTTGACGAAATCGAAAAAAGACTCATTCGGGGTAGCAAACGACGTTTTTTCGGGACGAAGGCGGGACCAAACCGCCTTCGGCCGTTTGCGACTTGCAAGATCTCGAAAAATTATGCGGAATCAAAAAAAATTTCATCACGATCGGATAACCGAGCACAAAGTTACGTTTTTTTCTAGATTTGATGCAGGTCAGGCCTTCACCGTTTTCCTCTAACGCGGTGATGCAATCACCGCCTTCCTCTACAGCGGTGATGCAATCACCGTTTTCCTCTAACGCGGTCATGCAATCACCGCTCTTCTTTAACGCGGTGATTCAATCACCGCTTTGGTCAGACGCGGTGAAGGCCCAAACATGCGTAGATTGAGAATTTTTTTCATAACGTGTGTATTTTGAGAATTTTTTTTAAAAACATGTGTACAGTGGGAAATTTTCCTAATATTTTCGTATGGCCTGAACTTTGACCAAAATAAATATCCTGACCAATCTTTTCGATCTATAACATCCTGGCCCGAACTATACACCAAAATAAACAATTTGGCCAGATCCGACTTTTGACCGTTAACTTGGACGGTCAAACGCGTTGACCGTTAGTCAACACGCCATGTCACTG